TTTACTCATTTTCTGTATACAAAGGGACATTTGATTCCTTATATTACAGTATATTGTATGTTATGTTGACCAAGATCACCTAAAAGGTTTTTTTTGTTGGTCTAGTAATTGACAAAAGGAAATGTGTTCACTTACAGTGCCAAATATTTTTTTTTTTAGATCAGTTAAAGGATATGAAACTAAACACTTTTTAGCAGTTTTAGTATCTCTAATATGAATGATAATATACTATATATGAAATAGAGACAGTGATAATCAGTGTTCATTTGTTTCCTAAATCATACCCTGACGCAAAAGCATTATACCAGTCATTTTATAAATAGGGACAAGCTGACCTATCTTTGGCTGTTCGGGTGTCTAGATGAATACCCAAACCTTTGCCAGTTCAGAACCCAAGCATCTTATATTCCAAGCAGTATTTTTGCTGTTTCTATATATGAAAGCTTTCCACTGCTAATGGTTCCTAAGCAACTGCCACCGTCATTGGCACATTGGCTTACATGGCTGGAAATACACATCCACTTAAGCAAATGGGTGGTGATATCAGTGACATCACTGCTCATATATAGTCTCTGACCATACTTGGTAAATGACATTAACCAGGTACATCCCCGGCCTATAGCACAATTATGGCCGGACGGACTTTTGTTGATTCAGATGGACATCATATGATGTCCTCCCAGATCGGGCCACACTGCTGCCAGACCTGTCACCATGTGTGTCCATTGGACGCAGCTGATGACTCATCAGTGTACCGGCCCGCTGCCAGTATCATGTGACCACTGTGACAGCAGTTCACATGAGTTCACAGCAGTTCACATGACAATTGTAAACAATGGATGGCTTCCTTTTATGTCTTCCATTGTGTGCAATTGTGTTGCTAGCTGTGATTGGTTACAGTGATTACATGGTACAGATGGGGCCAATCACAGCCTATCTGTGCCATGTGATTAGCTGTGGCCAATCACAGCTAATCACAAACAAAAAAAATGAATGAATCAATTTAATTCAGTAAAATGCTTGTGAATAGTAATGAAATTAATTGCTATAAGCAATCACAATGTATAAAAAAACAAGAAAAATACTGCTCACGTCTCCCAGAATAGTATAATGTTACTATGGTAACCTTATATTATTCTGGTCACAGAAAAAAAATTGTAAAATAAAAACCCCAGTGGTGATTATATACCACCAAAGAAAGCTCTAGTTGTGTGAACAAAATGCTAAAAATGTAGTTTGGGTACAGTGTTGCATGACCGCGCAATTGTCATCCAAAGTGCACCAGCATCACTGGAAAATTAGCTTGGGCAGGAAGGGGCTAAAAGTGCCCAGTGTTGAAGTGGTTAACTAAATATGGCCATTGCCATATTTGTTTAATGATGTCACTACTATCCCCGCCCCTTCCCTTATATAGCTGATGACAGCTCAGGGAGACGTCATTCAGTAGAGAAATGGTTGGGATTGGTTGCATGCGCTGGGTCCGTTGGGTTTTAATTTCAGTCAGTTGGGGGGCATCATGATTGATAATGTATTTAAAATGGGAAACTTTTTAGTGGATTCCTATTTTTAAACATTTGGGTATCTTTACTTACATTTACATTTTTTTCTTGTGAATAAGTAGAGATACTGTGTACACCTTACTTGTTCACATAGGGGGCAACATTTTTAATGGGGGCTTCCAGATTCCAATTAGCTTTCCAGGGTTGTGGGGAAAAGGCCCTTGTTCTGATCAACATGGGGAAAAGGTGATTTTCCAGGGGAGACTGAACAGTCTTCTTGAGGATTACTTTTTTTGTGTGTGTCAGCAAAAACTGTAGTGCTGTTTACTGTTCCCCTCCTGCAGTCTTTTTTTTTTTTTTGGTGTGGAGGAGGTTGTTTCAAGATTTTCCATATTTTTATTATGCTAGGTAAAAATATTGTGTTGAGGTTTAATGCCTCAATGGGTCGTTTTTTTATTTTTGTTTTTGGGGGGAGCCATATTTTATCTTATTTTGAAGGGCCTATTGGGGTGTAATTTTGTTGGTGACACATGCAAAGTTGTCCTTTGCAGCAAATCACTGCATACTTGTGCATTAAAGTAGCGTGCACCAAAGCACTACATATGTATTTCTCCCATTGCCATAGCTGTTATTAAATTTCAGCAATCCCGTTTATCCCCTTACTTCTGCTCATTCTGCCATAATGCAGTAAACTATTTAAAGCTGAAAAACATAGGGCCAAACAGTCGTCTTAAAAGTCCATAAATCTTTATTGATGATAATTAATTGATTGTTAATACCAGGAAGACAAGTAGTAGCCAATGCTTTATAGGGGCCAAAACTGCTCACAGGTTATAATGCAGCAACAATATCAATTGGACCTTGACCACAAAACAGACCTGTTTTAATGGACATGTAGTAAACGTACTGGTCAATGGTCCATCTAAATAGCAACAAAGAGTTTAAAAAAAAATGTGATCACATGATGACTGAATTGTTGCAGAAGGATGATCTTGATGTGCAAGCTTTCCTCTCTTCACATAATGAGGATGAGAAAGGTAGCACCATGATCATAGAGTAAGTAATGTTCCAGCAGATGGAGCTTACTGCAAAGTGGGCTCCAAAGATGAAGAGGGGATGGATGATGAGGTGGCACACCATCTGTGAGTGCTACTGATTGGAGAGAGGAGGAAGATTTGAAGGAATAGCACAAAAGCAAGAAATGAGGATTTTGTCCAGGAGCAGGGAAACTTGCTGAGAACTGAAGAGAGCAGCTATTTTCTATTCCATCTGATAGAATTGTCCCACAGATATATGCTGTTGCTATTTCAAGGGTCTGCCCACAAAGCTTTAGATTGTGGACCTTTTTTTAATATTATCTGCTGCTGATAGCAATGCTGTGGTTAACTATCTCTACTAGCAGTGTATCAGCTGAGGTAACAGTGGGAGCCATTTGGGAACCGGAAATATTAGAAAGCACATAACAGAGATAAAGGCTTAGGATATGCCATGCCATGAGGGAAAGAGGATCATGGGCCATGCTGAGGGGTTCAATTGATGTCTTGAACCTATGAAGACTTCTCCTCCCCACTCATCCCGTTGTCTCCAGCAGTATCCTTTTCCACAGCGGAAGAAAAAAAAAGTCCATTCCAGCTTGTGGAACAAGGCCCCTTCCATGAGTTGATGACCTGTGCTACACCATCATGGCATGGTTCAGAAAGGGGAGCTGCATGCTTGTCTGTTATGGATTTATGGATAGGTTAAATTCACACTGCTTTTTATCTGGAACCCTTTTGCAACCCATACAGGAGCCTCATACAGGATAAGGGTTTGGTATAGATGAAGAGAATCCTCAGCTGCTTTGTTTACAAATGGTGAATGTCATTTAGTTGTCTTCAGTTTAAATGGTATTATTTTTATTGTAAATGTCCCTTTTGCTTGTGTGCCACTTTACAGGCAAGTGTATGGTATCACTCATAAGCATGTTATTCGAAGGAATTGTGGATGTTATTGATGTTCTTTAATCCTTATAAAATAGCTGCTCCCTGCTAAACTGTTTTTTTTTTTTTACAAGGTCTTGCTTTGGTACACATACCTGCATGGCAGTGACCAGCTCTCCAAACTCTTTTTTCGACAATGCCTTACCTATTTGCCTGAGAATTGGAAAGAATTAATTTTCAAGATTAGCCTCCCATTCATTTCAGTGAGGTTAACAATGTAATTTGTAAATTGTACATTTTTGGATATGTTCACCTGACCTGTTCTCGAATTGAACCCAAGCAGATTTTCTCATCACTGTCAAAGAGCCTAGAAGAAACTATTTATCTAGTCTGGTCTATTTATAAATAAAAGTGAAATTTACAAATGTCTTTCATGCGTGCATAACAAATTATATCTGCAATGTTTGTAATGTGTGTAAAAGTTTGGTTGTTGCTTTTCTTTGGGTGAATGTAACATTCCCAAAAATTCATTTTTAAGAGAAAATTTATTAAGAACATTTTACCATAAGAGTTAACATTCGTCAAAAGAGAAAATAGGCTAACACTATAGGCTAACAACATTCAACCAGCAGGGGAAATAATATGAGGGAGTCTTCTGCATAATAAACAGTCTATGGAGAATCCTGTATGAATGCCTAAACAAATAAATATTCGGGCTGAACCTCCAGCTGCAGTGTTGCAACAACTCCTGGTTGTTGGGGAGTTGGCACCCACCATGGGGATTCACAACTGACAGGTCAATGTAAACAAACAGTAGGGATAGTGTGGAAAAAAAACAGCATGAGGTGGCCCCTCCTCAAAAAAAAATAATATCAGAACTATAAGGTCTGCTAAGGATTTTAAGGAGGACCACATGAAAGAAAAAACATGCATCATATCTGGTATGAATTTTTAGGGAGAAGCTCATGCAAAAAAACAAGGAAAAAATATAGTGAGGTCCCCTCAAAACCCAATACCAAACTCTTATCTGAGCATGTAGCCTTGATGGCCTGCAAAAGGGGAGAACAAGAGTGCTCCCCCCTCCCTAAAGTTAATGGTATATAAACTCACACACACTTTTGACAAGTCCTTTAACCACTAGCCTACAGGGAACTTATACCCCCTTCCGGCCCAGGCCAATTTCCAGCTTTCTGCGCTGTTGCACTTTGAATAACAATTGCGCGGTCATGCAACACTGTACCCATATGAAATTTTTTTTTTTTTTTTGTGACAGACAGAGCTTTATTTTGGTGGTATTTAATCACCTCTGGGTTTTTATTTTTTCTTAAACAAACCAAAAACCATTGAAAATTAAAAAAAAAAGTTTTTTCTTAGTTTTTGTTATAAAATTTAGTAAATAAGTGATTTTTCTCCTTCACTGATGTGCGCTAATGAGGCTGCACTGATGGGCACTGATAGGCTGCACTGATGAACACTGATAGGTGGCACTGATGGGCACTGATGAGGAGGCACTGGTAGGTGGCAATGATGGGCATTGACAGGCATCACTGATGGGCACTGAAAGGCAGCACTCATATATGGTACTGATAAGTGGCACTGATAGGCAACACTGACTGGCACTGATAGGTGTCACTGACTGGCACTATTAGGTGGCACTGACTGGCACTGCTGGATGGCACTGATAGGCAGCACTGATGGGCACTGATAGGCGGTACTGACTGGCACTGATAGGCGGCACTGACTGGCACTGATAGGTGGCACTGATTTGTAGCACTGATAGGTGACACTGACTGGCATTGATAGGTGGCACTGATTGGCAGCACTGATAGGTGGCACTGACTGGCATTGATAGGTGGCACTAATTGGCAGCACTGATAGGTGGCACTGACTGGCATTGATAGGTGGCACGGACTGGCACGGACACTGGCAGCTGATGGGCACTGAATGTTGCATTGATGTGGCACTGATGTGGCACTGAAATGGGCACTGGCAGGATGGCATGGCAGGTGGCATGGATGAGCAAAGACCGCTGGCACTGATGGACACTGACAGGTGGTGCTGCTGGGGCTACACAGATCATCAGGGCACACTGATGATCAGTGCCCTGATGATCTGTGTACACGTCCCCTCCGAGGAATGCCGATTACCATCTCTCCTCTGTCAGCGTGACAGTTCGTGGGGAGAGAAATGCCGATAACTGGCATTTCCCTGTTTACATGTGATCAGCTGTGATTGGACACCAACATCTTCGGCTCTTTCCGTGGATCGGTGATCCGGTGTGGCCGAGAGATACAGCACACCGCCGATCACCGCGCATGGGCGGTTAGATTTAGAGGACGTCATATGACGTCCTCCCAGAACGAGAGAATTGCCTTGCGTCCGTCAATTTACTATATGGTGGGTGGGAGGCGGTTAATTTAAAAAACAAAATGTCCCGCAATATACATTCACAATCATTCATTGTACAGAAAAGTAGATCCATGCCATTCACAATGTTTGATACCCACCAACTTGCTGAAAAAAATAAGTCACCCATCAACAGGTCTGAACTTGACTCTCTATCCACCTTGCTATCTGTTGCTGCAATACAAGCAAAAGGGCTGGGCTTCCAGGTGACATTTTTGAACATACATAAACATGGCCATACATCATGGCCAATAACATCATGGAAATCCCAGTGACATCATTGACAATATATGGTTATGTCCATATATAGTCAATGACATCACCCAGAAACCCCACCCATTTGCTTATATTGCAACAGCGAGGGCCAGGAATTGACATTTGTCAAGAGTCAAGTGACAGGTTAGAAAGTGTTGGTGGGTAGTGGGTTTCTCCCAGACTTAAAGGGTCTGCTATGATTTTTTGTGGGCCCAATGCTGTTTTTTTTTTTATCATTAGGGCCCCTTAAAATCCATACCAGATCTTGAGGGCCTGCTATGAATTCACTGGTTGTTAGAACACCAGCGAAAGTTTGGCTGCCTAACAGCCAGGAGGAAGCTTTCACATTTAGCCGTGGTTAATACCACTGCTAAATGTTTTGCTTTGCACTGCAGCTGGAGGTTTGTTTGGCTGAGCACCCATCCATTTGTTGTTTGCAGAAGATTCTCCATAGACAGCACCCCTGCTGGTCAAACGTTCTTAGCCTATAGTGTTAGGCTACTTTCTCTATAGGTGAATGTTAACTCTCATGATAGAATGTTCTCATAGCTAATTTTTTTCTTAAGGCTAATTGTTAAGGAATGTTACATTAATTCAGTAAAAGGCAACAAGGAAACTATTATAAACATATCAAAGACATTACAGTTATTATTCTTTATTCTCTCATGACTGCAGAGACATTTGCGAAGCAAATTTTTTTATAAATAAACCCCTATGCACAGTATGTACAGTATGTGTGTACTTATATTTTAATTTAAAAAAAATATAAAATATAATCATTAACACGTTTTCTGAAAAATCCCTTATACTCCGGCAGCTGTATTTCTCACATTGTGTGCTTGTTACTCCCAGTGTACAGCGTTCCTATAACCAATCATATACAAATATATCAACTTATATAAAAATTAAAAATACACTAAAATTGATTGGTACACCCATAGTGCAATTAAAGCCTGGGTATCGTTTGAGCAGGCTTTTTCTTCCATCTCATTACCAGCTCTCCCTTGGACATTATCCTCTCACCCTCTGATAGGCCCAACACTTACTGCCTTTCATATGGCTTGTGCCGCCTATTCCATTTCATCAGAGAAAGGACCTGTTAGGGATCCGGGTATGGCCAGAAATGTGTGGACTGACACAGGGAAGTAGCAGACTTCAGGAACACAGGCGTAGTCAGGGCTGGAGAGGTGAAATGGTCAGGCAGGCCGTAAGGTACTGTCAGGTGCTGCCTGGCAGTGTCTCTAGCAGCCCACAGCATGGATTTCCTCAGGTCTAAGTCCCAGCCTGCTATTCACCAGGGCCCCTGATGGTGGGGATGGACTTGGTGCAGACTGGAACCAGGTCACGACCCCTGAGTGCGTCCGGCTGTGGTAGAGAGTACTGGCAGGGGAGTGAAGGAACGGAGTCTGATGGAAAGAGGCAGGCAGACTTACTAAAGGTGATCCGTGTGGGATGGATGGATCGTCGGGTGAAGTAAGCGTAGTCAGACAGGCCGGGTCGGTATCGTGCGGGCAGCGTGGTACAGGAGGAGCAAGCAGAGAATGGTTGGGGTCACAAGCCAGGTTCAGCAGGTAGAAGGCAGCGCGGTACCGAGGATCAGGCAGAAGGATGGTCAGGCAAGCCAGGGGTTCAACAGGAGAAGTCAGCAGAGGTCAGGATCAGGCAGGGTCGGCAACAAATCAGATCATCAGCAGAACAGGAACACAGGATACCAGGTACAGGGGCTCATGGGAAACATACACCAAGGCCCAGATCACAGGCCTGGTCATTCCTTATATGCACCTCCTGCAATCAGCCTCAGGTGTTTTGGCTGATTGCAGGAATGAGCCTCTGGTTGCTGAGAGCACCCGCTGGCCAGCCCTGGTACTGCAACCCACAAGGCAGGTGAGTCCCACCACTATTGGCGAGTCCATTCCTGACAGGACCCCTGTCATTGCTGTGTTACAATTCTGATTTTCCACCTAGTTTGAATGGAAAATTCCTGCAAAATAGTTGGATTGAACCGTATGCGTGGGCCCTACATTTCTTTGACAGAGGCCAATTCTTAGATTAGCTAGCTCTACCCACATCTTCTCTTGAATGGACTGTTCCTTTGTGGGCCTAATTTCAGATGAGTCACTTTCTCAACTCCCCTAGAGATTGTACACTATAGTCTAGACCACGTACTCCTTTTGAACTTAGCTGTACAGCTAATTATCCTCAGTCCCACATCTTCTCCTCTATCTTTCTTATCCTGATTAGAGACTGGAATTCAACAGATTTAAGAACATGTCACAAATGGGAAAAGGATCTAGAGTCTAGACTGTACCCTTTCTAATGAGGATTTTTTTAAATGACTCACAAGGGCTCATTGAATGTGACTGTTTAGGAAAATGGGTTCAAATTGCAATCCAGGTGGTACTACACACAGTGTACGCAGTGGTGCATCAGTTGTTTCTGATGGTCTCAGACACTTGCTGGAGATGCCAGTCTAAAACCGGAATTTTGCTCCACGTATGGTGGAATTGTCCAGCTCTACGTCGCTTTTGGACATCAGTCCACTGTACCACCTCGTCTGCCTCCAACCTGCCTCTAGATTTTTCCCCTGCTTAATTCATTTTACACCACACTAATGTGCCCAAGCATCAATATCAGAAATCCTTAGCCATGCATATGGTGAATGTAGTTAAATTTTGCATACCGAACCACTTGAGATTACCTCAACCCCCCACTTAGGCGAATGGTTTGCTCATCTTGAAAAGATAGCAGAATTGGAGGAACACTCATCAGATAGCCATGCCCTCTCACTTTAGAGTTAGTCTATATATGCTGTGATGGACTGTCTGGCACTCTGCTTGAGTGCTTCAATCAGAGAACGGCTTCCTTGCCGCTGGGACAGATAACCAATGTATTATAATTATAGCTGGGAATTGCACCCAAATACTGAACGAAACTTGCTTAGGTGCAAAATGGAACTCTAACTCTCTTTACTGAAGATTCACACAGACTTTATACCACACAAGATCAGATAAGAGCTTGATCACATGATCCTAAATAATGCAAACTTCAAACAGTAATATCATTAATACATTTAACAGTGATCTAATTAGCAGCTGACAGCTATCTAATTAACAATAAACCAATGAACAGCCAAGCACCCAGACAGGCCAGGAGTCCACTCCAGACAGTTCAGAAAAAACAACAATGAATACATAAAGTACATTACACATTCCTGGCCCCCACCTGTGCAATCTGTCCTCTAGAAAAGACATCATAAGTCAAAACTCATACAACGTTCCATCGGTCTGAAAAAATGGAATTAATTTATCTTCATAGATTTCTTGAAGGAAATTGTTGATAAATATTTCTGTCCCAAATAGAGGAGCTTCTCCAACCCAATCTGCAGGAGGGCCACAATATATTCTTTGACCATTAACCTGTCCAAGATTAATATTACACCTTTCCATCCTCTGCAGAAGGGAAGCTTTATTGTCTTTATGCAGAGAATTAATCCAAGCCTTGCTCATCATGTTGTTGTCCATCATCACAGACTGATCTGCTCTTTCCATGTGATCAGCGGCTGAACTAAACTCTTTTTCATGCTCTGACCAGGAGAAGCAGACGAAATCCCCGGTCTCCTCTATGGGCCAATATCAGTGTGTAGAAGGCTAGCCCTAGTCCCCTCCAATAGATCCTGTCCTGGTTGGGTCTGTCAAAGGTGCTTTTCCCCCCAAGGGGTTATACCACATCTAGGGATGCACCTCTTCTTACTCACAGTGTCACCAAGAACATCATAAAATTGGAGGGGAAAACGACTCTGTGTTGGCCTGGTCAGACCAGCCATGCACAGCCTGCACTGCAGGAATAAATACACATTAGGCAGAGCAAGAAAATCTGCCAAAACAAGTGCCAGTGCTTTCAGTTTTCTGATCACAGCTAGTGACAGTGTTTCCAGTGTTGCTGATCACAGCCAGAGGTAGTGTTTCACATGTTTTTGAGCGATTATAGCCACAGGAGTGTTTCCAGTGAAGGATAAATGATTACAAACATTCTTTGCTCTGTTATAACATTCACACAAGCAAAATAATATGTTTATTTTTTTTTAAACCAAAGAAATATAGCAGAATCAGGGGCGGACTGACCATTTGCAAACTCGGGCACTTCCCGAGGGCCCGGGGTCAGTAGGGGGCCCCATGAGATGCCCCTTCTACCTTTTTCACAGGCTTTTTTGAG